CCCCCCCACCCCCCACGCCCCGTCCCTTGTCCACTAAGTGAATTATTACCTTACCCAAAGCATTCCATCAGTGGGGGTTTTATTCTAACATGAGTAACGTCAGACATGACACTTTTTTCAAGATTTTTTTTCGGAGAAAAAGAATAAATGAAGTACAAAAATAAATAAACGGTAATTTAATCTAGGTTCCAATACAGAGAGATTTCGTGAAAGAAAATTTATTGAGATATTAATATGAAATGGCACATTTTGTGTTGTTATTTATATTTTTATATGCAAAGAAACAAATAAACTTTATGCATATAATAAAAAATATTAAGAGACCAAACGGTTAGGAAGTTAAGTAAATCAAGAAATACTGTTTTTGATTGGAAGAGAAAAGTCGTCGAAATCATCACACGTAACCTCATTATGTCTTTGTAGTGACTGTTTGAGAGGCATGCAAACTAATTTGTACGGAAAGTTCTAATTATATATATACATTCAACAATTAATCATCCGAGTCTGTTAGGATTAACTCCATTGGTAGTGATTAAAAATTTTAAAAACTGCGTATAGTTTTGAAAGAACTCTTAGTTATCACTTGAAGTGTTGATGTTTTGACAGATTGTTCGGGCTTTCTTACAATGGCCATTCGTATAGCTTCCCAAAGCTAAGACTCGACTTTCGACTCGAACGGGTGTAGGTTCCGTACCTGAAAAGCGCGATAACTTCAAAGCGGACAACTGCAAGTTTCAATAACTGTTGCATGTTTGAACTGTGTGGTTTTATCACACACTTCCGCCCCCAATCACCAAAATATTTTCAGTGATTGATCCTTGAACTAAGAAATGTTCATCCTAGTGTACCGTATGCGCACGTTTTTCTTGATAAGAACTAGTTATTCTTAAAACTCCTGTTTCAGTCGAATCAAGATAAAAGGGGAACCATTGAAACCTGTCGTAACGGTTTTTGTTTTCCTTCGGTGGAAAATTAAATTTTTCGCCAAGACACATACTGTTATTACTATGTCAACCTAAGCGTTTTTGTTGAAGTCCTTAAAACCCGTGCCGAATTTTCCATAACTGTGATTGGTCTAATCTGGTCACATGTCGCGCTTGATTTCGTAACCGCTGTTGTGGAAAGAAATGATAATTATAAGTTTCCAGGTCTCGGCTATAAGGAATGACGTAAGTTGCTTCAGGCATTGAACTCTTTTCTTTTGTTACCAAGTCAGTTCACATTCTGATTACGCTCGTTAACATTTCGTATCACACTTGAATTATATTTGGATATGCAAATTAATATTTTCCAGACAAGAATCCAATCATTTCTATTGATTGGTTTGTACTAGCTATGGTTTTTTAGTTTGTTATTTTTATCGCAACGCCCATTGTTAATCTCAATGATTTCAAGAGATCTTTGACGTTCTGGATTGTGCGCTCACAAAACGATTTTTTAAACAAAAGAATTCAATTTGATGAGAAAATAATTAACCATGCCAACAAAACATCACAATGGCCATAAAAACCAACAATAATTTCTGCAAGCAGTACTAGGCTTTCAAATTCATTGTCTTGTTTGATCATTCGTCACGAAAACTCAAGTTTGTTCTACGATCTATTGGTTTTGAAAGCTTTGCCCGACCTTCTAGAGCTGACAAGTCGCTTCAAACTTTGCCGTAAAATCTACAGGTATCAAATTTTCTTGTACGTTTTTTGAAAGTAGCGAAACTGGGCGGTAATTGCGTTTAGATAGTCACTCCTGTACGGCAAACTTAGCAGAACATTCATTTAATTTTAGTTTTTAGTTAAAAGATCTTACTTGTTCAGAATCAGAAGACCATTATCTACTGTCTCGAGTTAATCAGATAATTTTCGGTATCTGTGTGATCGACTATCTGTTGACACTTTCAAAGAAGCGTTTCGCTTTCGTCCAGACCAAAACACCGTGTCTACCTACATATTTGCCAGAAATCGAAATCTTAAAGAGCATGATAAAATTTTACTTACGATTGCCGCGATTCCGTACTTACCGACATGAAAACACTCGCAAATCCGAGTTGTTCGAAAGCCATTGAAGAGTTCGCTTTAGGTAGAAATACAATAAGTTGATTTTCTTTTTCTTTTTTTTTTTTTTTTTTTACCGCAAGCTTTCAAACGTTGGCTCTCCCGGGGAGGGGAGGGTAGGTTCACTTTGAAAGCGTCTGATGTCCACCGGTCTGGTAAACAGAAAAAAATACCTTTCTTGTTATAATAATATAAGAAACTTCGAAGCCTAATGTATAAACGAAATTTTGATATATACAGCTGAATTTTCACCACAACGATAAAGCTTAAAGCTTTATCCGGCCGCATACATCTTTTTACCAGTAGAATAGATAATACATGGTAAAATGTTTTTCCGAGCTGAGTAATTTTCGGCACGAGTAATTGCAATCGTGTAAATGAAATCTCACCACGCACATAAACCCTTTCCACTTCTTATTTGCACCGTCTTTCAACTGGTGGTAAAGCCAAGCTTCATAGCAGTTTTCCACATTTCAAATCACTCCTTAGTTTCACTTCTGTCTGCCGGTTTAAAAGTTTTAGATTCCTCTATTTTGGAGTAGATTTGCGCGAAGAGTTGTTTGTATTCCCGTCCGTTGCCTGATACACTGTTTTGCCGTGATATATTCCGTGAACCCATTTCTTCAAAACCAACATCGGGTTCCTCGTCCAGTGGCGAGGTTTGAATCGCGCGTTGAACTGTGGGAATCGGAGCTATATCTTGAACGATACCTTCGGTTTTGCATCTTTCTACCAGAGAGTCGTATCTTCTGACAAGCTCGTGATATTGGCTTCCAAGCTCTGACAAAAACGATGAACTATTCTCTTTAAGAGGAGACTTCACCTCATGCGACGGACTTAAAACTTCTACCTCGCTTTGATCCGACGTAGCGCTGCTTTGGCGATTTAGTTCACCATCTACGAGAACAAACGAATCATCGTCAACCAAGCTGATATTCTCGACGCTTTCCGAGATTTGCCGAGTATGTAACGAGTCATTATCGACTGACAAAGCCAGACATGAGGTCTCGTTTTCGAGCTCTTGCCACAGTTTTGCTTGATGAGCGAAGTGACAAAGTTCCCGATCGAGTGTCTGATTTTCGTGAATCAAATCCGAAAGTTCAAGCTCGAGTTCTTCTCTTCGACGTTTCTCAACAGAATGTTGTCTTTTAAGCTTCATAATTCTTTCGTTGAGAATTTCAATATCCTTCTTAAAACCTAAAACTGCTTCGTCCTTTTCGGTGGTATCTGACTCGTTATCACTTCCTAACTCGTACCCACTCTCCTTCTGAGTGAGCTTGAGAGACAAACTGTTTGCCATCTCACTCTGGAGTCTCATTCTTTCTATCTGCAGTTCTTCCAGCTGTACCCTGTACTCGTCACACTTATTTTCCAAGGAGTCCACGGTTTGCACAAGCGTTTGGTAGCGTTTTCTCATAACCGCAGTCTCACTTTGTAATTCCTTGTTGGTTTTCTGTAATTCTAAAGCGGTGGATTCCATTTGTTCGCACGCCTTGACTTGCCCTTCATGTAACTCCCGCAAAGTCTCCAGTTGTTTGGAAAGAAACTGTAAATTTAGAAACAGTTGCGTGAATTATGAGCACGCATTGATTACACCCGCTTAAGCAGGAATAATAACTTGTCACTTTCAATCACTAACACAGATTAAATATATCTTATTAACCAAGCACGAGGGCCGTACTGGGAGAATATCGGTCCGAAGTCTTGACAGTACGGACCGAGCGCAGCGAGGTCCGTACAAAAAAGACCGAGAGCCGATATTCTTCCAGTACGGTCCCGAGCAAGCTAGGCTAATAAGAGATTTATTATACGACTGAAGTTCAAAGGGACACAAGTGCGGTATCATTCGGGACCATTAGGGACGGTGCCCGGTCCAATACTTAGAGAATATTGGACCGGCAATAGTGCATTTTGATTGGTTGATTTCAGTTATTGGCCCTCTGACTGCCCGAGTCGTGTAATAAGTCATAATAAATAATTTGCAACCTTCAAGGAAAGCCATACGTGTAGCTTCCTTAGAAGTCTCGCGTCCAGACCCTCCACGGCCAAGCAGTTGTTACAC